GCTCTTTACAGCCTAGATTGCCACCACACTTGCCCCCTGTGTTCATGGATGGCCACTTCAGAGCTTCGCTAGGCTGGTGTGTTTACTCAGTGCTGGGAACATGATTCTGTAAATTAAGTGCTCTGACACAGACACCCTATTAGCTCACCCTAAATTGCATGATCACTAATCTCTCATAATTTACTGTGTATGAATGCTATAGAGCTTCTTGAAGTGCCAAAACAAACTGTCAACACCTTCAAAATACAGCAGCCCATTAATCTCTTTAGAGCAAGTCTTTGGATTTTGCTTTCCTTAACACTATAAATGAAGAAACAGCCTCACTCCCTGAATACTCATCCTGGGAGATGCTCCCACCTTGAGCAAGCTGTCCAACCTGCTGCTTCTTCCAGACCAGCGTTTGGGCCACAGTTTGTAGCCTAAGGTAGGTTGGCCAGGCAAAAGTCTCTCCACTTGGAGACCCAATTCATGCCGGACCATGTCAAACAGTTTCTGCTTGATGCAGGAGAAAGTATTTAGGGGACACTTCCAAGGTCTAAAGTAGTAGACTGCTCTTATGAACAAATTCCATTATGAAATTAGTAAATTATGACTACAATATCGAATTCCAAACTGTTTAAAAATTAACTACCATCCCTTTCTCTGTCTGGACATTTGACTTGCAAAGCAAAACTAGTTTGGCTCAGCTTAATTCCCACTCCAAGATCAATGGACATGTTTACCTCTCCTGGCTATTAGTGTGAAAACCTTCCTTTGAACTTTGGTGACAGATTTGAGAATGTAAAGCACCAACAGAACTATCACCAGAAAGTCAGCATCACATTGTAGCAGTTGTTCCTTCCACGATGCTGCAGGGGCCCGAAATAACCAGCTGCAGGGAAGACCCTTCTCGCTAAGGCAGCCAGGAGGACGAGCAGGCAGATGTTCCAGGGGTGGCACTGTGTTCATCACCATCTTCATTTTCTTTTACTTTCTATTTTGCTTGGACTCAGAGTCCATAGAAACATTATGCCAATAACTCCCCAATAATATAAAGTTGTCCTCTGGATTAGTACTTGAACTCTGATCTACCATAAAAACACAACACCCTGTAATTTTACAGATTTGAAATAGCTTTGGGTCTAATGGGTATCTACATGTAGATTCTATGCAACAAAATTTGAACTGTAATAGTAAACTAATTTTTTAAAATTTGAGAGTTTTACCAATTTTTTTCAGTAGATATAAAACACTTTCAAAGCATTTGTCATTTCTTTGATCACAGTAACATACAAATACAGCTCTACATATATGTATATATGTGAGTTTCCTGGCAGATATCATACAACAGATTTTCTGCACCTTCATATCTTGTAGCATTTACACCCATTCTTTATTTTCTCCCCACCTCTCACTTCTTTGTTGTGCAGACTGTCTTAACCTGCCACAGAATTCTCAAACTCTCGCTCACTGTTGTGTAAGAGCCATTCTAAATGTGAGGGGACTAGAAGACTGCAGTTTCTTTTCAGTAATCCAGGAAAGAAGAGAGCAGTTCATAAAGGCTAAAGGAGCCAAGCTAGCAAAATATATTCCATAGAATCAACAAACAGTAAGAAGGATGATGAAAGAGCAGGTTTTGAGAGAAAAGTACAGATGACACCTTTTTGGTAGAAATTTCACTGGAGCCCAGCTGAGGCCTTGAAAAAGCCAGCATCTGAGTTCTGGACCCACAGTGCCATTGGAACAATAGCCCAGTAATGGTCGGCAAATGCTCTGCCAACTGATCAAGAAAATCACTCTCAGAACATGACTTTCCATTTGGAGAGGCTTCTAGAGTAAAATAAAACCCAGCACACTGCTGGTCACAAACTACCAGGCAACCCCATGATGATGCCGAGAGCTTAATAAGTTTGTTTTTTGACCTATAGGAATCTAAGTAGGGAAGTAAAACCTGTGAAATCTCTCCCTCCAGCTCCCTTCTGTGTCTTTCCCCCCAAATTAAGTGACTATATCACCAGAATAGTCCATGGAGATTCGCTACCTTCATCGACTCCTCCCAAGTTCCGCGGAAAAGTGTAAGCGGGATTCCCGAAGGTGTTGAGAGTTTCCAAAGGCACCTAATTCTTGCACCTGGAAGAGGAGCTGCATGTTGTTGCCCACTTAAAGTTCAATATAATGTTGGCAATCAGAAAATTAAAACAAATGCTACTACCAAAAAATTTTGATGGGTTCAGGACCCACCACTCTGGCATACTCAGCAGAGAAAATGGTGGAAGCAGGAAGCTCTCTTTGGCCTTCCCTGGCATGTCTCCCCTCACTCCCCTGAAGCCTAGTGAGCCTTGCTGACTTCCTAAGGCAGGTTCTAAGACCCTGAGAGGGTTACTCCCTTCTTCAGCAGGGAAAGGACAAAAGGGATGGAGGATCTGAATGAACAGATTCCATCTTAGTCCAGAAAGAATGGCTATCAACAAATAAATGAATAAATAGATAAACCCTAACAAATGTTGGTGAGGTGGCAGGGGAGGGGGGCTATTCTTCTACACTGTGGGTGGGAATGTAAACTAGTACACCACTATGGATGTGAGTATAGAGATTCCTCAAAAAACTAGAAGTAGAAATTTTATTCAATCCAGCTATTCGCCTTCTTGGTATCTTCTAAAAACAGTTAAAGACACCATACCACAGTGATATATGTATAGCCATGTCTACAGCAGCTCAAGTCATAATAGTTAAATTATGGAATCCTGGAGACAGCCTATATGTCCATCAGCGGGTGAATGAATAAAGAAAATGTGGTATTTACACACAGTGGAGTACTACTCTGCCATAAAGAAAGATAAATTTGAGTCATTTCTAGGAAAACAAATGTACTCAAGACCAAAATGTTAAGTAAAGTAAATCAGATACACAAGTTTAAATATTACATAGCTGCTTATATGAGAAACCCAAACTACAAATAACGTTTTAAAAAAAGATGGGGCTGGGAATTTAGCTCAGCGGCATAGCTCCTGCCTGGCAAGTGCAAGGTCGTGAGTTTGATTCCTGGTACCAGAAAAAAAAAAAAAAAGACAATAGGAAACAAGGCAATAGATTTTTTACAAATGGGGAGTGGGTAATTAGACAGAGGAAGGGGAGAGAAGGAGAGAAAGGGGAAAAGAACCAAGATGAGTTACGTCCGTACATGTACCTACCCTCTAAGATGAATGTAAGCACTACATACTGTAAACATGTACTAATAAAAAAAATTTTTAAATAGGCCTTGCTAAGCTCCTCTACTCTGTTACCACGCACTCATACCAATTTTGCCCTATACTTTTTCTCCTTGACACTTCACTCTTCATCAAATCTCCTAGTATAAAATTACTACAGTTCACCTCTTTCTGCATTTCTTCACCATTATGAGGACTCTCATGTCATTTAAAATTCATATTAAATGCATTTTCATGCTGTTGTCTCATTGATCTCTCTTTTGTTATAGGGGCTGCAGCCATGATTCTAGGATGGGTGAAGAAAAGATACCGTCCTTCCCTATAGCCTGCCTTCCCACAAATATTTTATTTTCTTCCTTGGTGTTCAATATGGGCAGGATGTAAATATATACATTAGAGGATTTGAAGTAACAAATTCTTAATATCAATAATATTATCTGTTGTTTATTTCACTGTTCTATTTGGTTGCATTGGGACAGTTCTAGCAAGAAAATAAAAGTATGTACTGAAGAGAACTCTCCTGGAAGGTATACTGGCATAAACTTGGCACGCAAAGGTAAAGGTATGAATGGGAAAGAATGCTTCCCTGAGTGCAATGCTCACCTCCATGACTCAGGTGCCTGCGGAAAATTTGGAAAGCGTGAAAGGATTTATCTGCAGGAAAGGGTCCCCGACTAGCTGGCTAACATATAAAGCCACTTCTGTTAGCTACCAGGTCTTCTTCATATTTGCAAACCGGTCACTGAACATTAGGATGGTCATTGTTTGCACTGACCATTTCTGGGGCTATGATACATATAACCTAACTCATTGTGTACAAAAACTAAATAAAAACAAGAGCCATTTCCTAAAAACAATATGTAACAGGAAAGACAAATGACCAAATGGTAAGTCCTTTAAAATAAAATACAGAAATTGCTAAGTCTTAAGGACTTTGTCGGGTGTTTCTTTTCCACAAAGCACTTTAAAAACAAGAAGCAATATAATATTTCTTTGAAGACAATAATACTTGCCCTCCCTACTTATTATCCCTCTCCATAAAACACCAGGGCCAAATTCCTCCCGGGCAGGGCTCCAGTCTCTTAATGTCTTTGTTTCTCCCTTACTAACAAGGGCTAATGGCTAGTTTTCTTTACAGCACTGACACCAGACAAAAAGAACACTTTCCTCTAGGGAAATTTAATGCTTGTGACAAAACCGAGGCAGAATGATATTTATGCTCCCTGTTGTGACTGTTATGCTAATTATTATAATTAAAGCTACCATTATTGAAAGCTAACCATGTGCCAGGTAATATATGCTCTGATGTTATCTACATTCACTCAAACAGGTCTGTAATCTTGGTGTCATACTCTGTATTTTATACATGAAAGAAAACTTTAAGAAACTAATGCTGTCCTCACAAAGTTTATGAGTAATAAAGCAAAGGTATTAAATCACTCTGTTATATTGCCTCTTCAATAATCTACAACATTTATTGAGCACCTACTATAGTACATTGGTCCCTCGGTTCACAGACACTTTTGTTTGTAAACAATTTGGCTCACAAACAGAAGCATTTGGTAAAATTTTGTTTCAGTTTGCAAATTCTGCATCAGGTGACAAACAAAATTGTGGTCACCTTTCCCACACAAACACAAACGTGGTCATCTTTTCCAAAATCATAGAAAATGTTAAGCTCGTGAACTAAGGTACTGCTGTATCTACCAGTCATTTACTATATAACATCTTTCAGTGCTGACCCCAAACAATATTTGCATGATCTCATTTTAAAGCAATGGCAAGTGAGATTGGGGAAGGCCAATAACTTACCAAAAGTCACACCCCAAGGAAGAAAAAGGCAGAGGCTTGATTTAAAATGAAGCCTGTATTTTTATGAAGCGCCTCCATTTCTTTCATGGCACAGTTCTCTGAAAGATGAAGGAGAACCAATATTTTCAGTCCGTGGGGCTTAGCTCTTAACATTCCTCCTCAGCAAAGCGTTGTTCACCCATCAGTCATTAGCAAGCCTCAGGTTTTAAGCCTGGTTCCTGGGCTCATTCTTACTCTCAGCCCTTCAGGTGCAATTATGTATTTCCTGTGATCATCACCAACAGTACTGATATATAATTTCCCATGCTTTGGACCATTTTAATCGATGGAGATGTCTCCAAGTGCCCTGGGGTCTAAGCTCCCACTCTCAATGACCACATTATTAACAATTATTAATGCAAGAGCCACAGCGAGTGTTTCACTACCAACAGCTCAGTGACTGTGGAATTACTGAGGCAAAGGCCTTGGACTCTGGATAGCAGGGCAGACACGGGTCCACTAAGAATAGCTCCCGTCACAGCCAGAGAGAGCCCTTGGAGAGTTTTTGATTTGATATATGATAAGGCAGTTAAAGACACTACAGTTTTGAGAGTTAACTTATTTATCTTTTCCGCGTTCCAAATTTAACTTCTGGTTTTAATTTAAAATCACCATAAACTATTTATAACTTATCAGTAAAATGTACATCTACGGAAAGTCAAGCTTAGGTCACAGAATTCTTTGGTTTTGTTTGAAGGAGGTGAAAAATAAGTCCAGGGAACCAATGTAAAAGACCATTAAATGCGAGCACATACCTTCTTCCCCAGTCTTGAATCCCAAAATGAGAAATTTTCATTTTTCTTCTCGGTTTGTATATTTTATACCAGATCAAAATTCAGATTAACTTTTTGTAAGGACATACGGGCTGTCGTGTGGACTCTGTGTAGTGCTCAAGTTACATCCTTACTGGAACCACACTGAATCACTTCCCATCTGCAGCCTGGAGTCAATTGCTCTTGTGGATTAACTTATGTGAAATAGTGAAATTTTAAACCTGTATGTGTAACCAGTATATGTAAACTAGTATATGACTAGTTCTGAAATGAAGCGTCTTGATCATTTCTGTTGGTCCTGAAACTAACAGACAGGTGTGCATTATTTATTCAGAGGCTTCAGATGAGGTCAGAAGAAAAATGCAAGTCACATTCCACTAGCAGGATGGACGGGATTCCAATAACATCAGCGGTTCCCAGTTTCCACACACCAGTTCCCCACTCTGGATCATAGGACTAGGGCTTTTAAATTAAAAAATTAATTAGGACAAGAAGCAAATTCATAGTGCACAGAATAAAACATAGTTCAGGATCCACCCTTTAGAAAATTGTTTTTAGCTACGGACAAAGGACATACAAATATTTGTAAAATATCTGTTGCAACATTTTCAAATGTGGTAGAATAAAAATTGCATTCATTACCTACACACGGAAAATGGTTCAGGCCATATCAAACAAGCATAAATCCAAAAAACAAAAAAAAAAAAAAAAAAAAGAAAGAAAAAAGAAAAGAAAGCAGCATTTGTGGAAGTCTAGAAAAAAAAAAAAGAAAGAAAGAAATGAAGAAATTCATGGCAAACATGACAAAGATAGTTCCAGCCCTGATAAATCACACAGCTGATTAGGGCAGATGAGCACTACAAACACAGTCATCGCTCAGTCTCCATCAGGGGGCTGGTTTAGGGACCTTCCCCATAGACAGAAAATCTACAATGCTCAAATCCCATACATCCAATGGTGCATAGGACCCAAATCTTCCTACATAATACCTACTGCAATGTCAATGCTGTTATTCTATTTTTATTAGGCCGTGGATGCTTGCATGTGTTCTATACAGATACAGCTATTTTTTAAATGTCTTTGAGCCACAGTTAGTTGAACCCATATCATCCAGATCCACTGCTATGGAGGGCAGGCTGTCATTACATGGTAAATATTAGAACACAGCTGAGAAAACATCAAGTGCAGGAACAGAGAGGACACAGCATGTGAAAACTGGCCCAACTGGGACTGGAGGGGAGACAAGGTGGGCTTCTCCTAAGAGGAGGAATGGCAGGTCTGGGTGCCAGGAGCACATCCTCCAGCACCTGTGTGAGAAGGTGGCAAAGGAGCCATTCAAATTGCATTCCCAGATCTGGATGCGGTGTGAAAATAACTCTTCCAAACTTCTGGCCATAGAAAAGAAACAACTGGTCCTTTCATTGCATCAGCACACCTTAGCACAGGTCACATGTCATAAAATATGATCGGTTCCGTCTTTATCATTCATGCCACAGGAATTGATCGATTTTGAAAATCTTTCATTAAACTGTATGCCTTCCTTCTCTCTGCAGTGGGTGCAACTCTGCTCCTCTATTGCACTCTTCTTGCAATCTCTGCCTCTTGTGGAGTCTCCAAACCATGAGTGCGCAAGCCCCTTTCCCAAAGCGGTCCACAGCAGCCCAGTGTGAAGGCTTTTCCTTTTCCTAGCAATGAACATCCCAGGTGTGTTTTCCCCTGCTCACTGATGGAGTCAAATCATAAAAACCCAAGAAAGAACAAATGGGCTCTGTGCCACTGGGTCACACCTATCCTGTTTTATGTTCCAAGACAATGAAGTTGGAACTTCCAATGTAAATGTACATTTTATTAAACTGAGCACAGAACCTTGATAATGATTCTTAGGCCCCAGCATGGGAGAAAAGGGGGTTATATTCTCCTGTCAATGAAAGAAATAAAAAGGATTGCAAAAGTAAAATCCATAAACATTGCAAAAAAATTGTTTTGGCTAGGAGTATGATCTCAAATAATAATGATTTATTTAAGATTTCCTCAATCCAACACAAATTAATTTGTTTGTACATTTGTCTTAAAAAGCATGTAAGAAAGAGGTAGAAAACACAGATGACTTGCTGTTAAATATCTCAATTTCCCTAATAAGAATTAATAGCAAAATTTATTTTCTGTCTAGTGCTATGGGGGATTCATAGTCCATGATTTAGTGACATTTTACTGACTTTTTAAAAACTGGAATAAAGTAGATATGCAGAAGATTATATTTCTATTCCTTTTAAGTGATGAGAAAGATAACAACATATTATTTTAATGGTGGCTCAGCCCGCTGAGCATTAGCAAATCATTGAAGAAGACTTTTGTCATTTCCCTCCAGACCATCCTGCAAGTTCTGACAAAGAGCACTTCTGAGTGCTTCCTGGAGATCTATTCAAGTTTACAGGCTCCAGCTTAAGGAGTGTGACCACATCCGACATGTGTACTTCCTTTCCCACAGTATTTTGCTCTTCAAATGCCTAACACAAATCAACTCTTATAAATAATTTTTGAAAGGCGCTTTGCACAAGAATTGATAGAATTCACCGAAGAACCCAGATGTGGCAAACAAGGATGGACCTTTGACAAAACCGGTGACAAAACCACCTGAGGCCATGTAACTGCAACTTCATAAAAAACTTACAAGACTTTGGCTTGTACCTAAATCTCGAGATGACTCAAACACCCCTGAAGTTTGGTCGTCGTTCAGATGGAGTCTTTCATTGTTGTATATTTTATACACATTGTTTTTCCTGGAACTAGTAGAAGATATAAGAAAATACTACAAGAATCCATTTTATTGGTCATACATCCAATCCAGCTGGCCAGAGAAAAGGAAGACTACAATAGGTGAATCTACCCTTATGAGGTTTCCAGGGCAGCTCTGTATCCTCCAGCAAAACCCTGAGAACATTCAAACAGAAACCTCTGAAGCTCTTGCCATTATCCATACCTGGAGCACTGTGTCCTTTCATCTCTTTGTGTCTCTTGATTTCTCAGTGGTCAGATGAACGCCACACTATGCAGAGCCTCATGAATCATTCCAAACAAAAAGAGTCAAACAGATTATAAAAGACAACACAGATCCAAACTGATTTCTATCAGCCTGAGTTAAAAGGTCTTGGTATTCAGAGAAAACATATTATAGAATCCAAAACATGGAATGCAGACAACGCTTACCCATTGCTGGAAATAAACACTGCTTTCCATGCTTCAGGTGTCTTGTATGCCTGCTTCTCTGCAATCAAGCCCAAGGTGAGACCTGGTCATCTAAAGGAGAAGAATGCAAAACTTGCTAGTTTTAGGACTTCTTTGTAGTGTACTTTTTGTTTGTTTGTTTTTGTTTTTGTTTTTTTTGTACCAGAAATCTAACTCATGACCTCAGGCTTGCCAGGCAAGCACTTAAACCACTGAGTTATTTCCTTGGCATCTTTGTAGTGTAGAATAATCTAATGATTCAGTCTGTGTGTAAGGGCTGCTCGTTCTGTTCTTGGGACTGTGACAATCTGTCCTGCACAACTGGCAGTATTAACCTCCAACAACAAAAAACCTCAGTTACAGCTCCAGATCCAAAATGAAGCCAAGCCCCCATCATACTGAGTAGAGATTTACATCCTATATAAAATTCTCCTGATAACAATGATTATGTCGGAACAACAGGACCCATTGCTCATTTATTCATTCAACATACATTTACTGTGTGCCCACTGTGCACCAGGCGCTATGGTATTGCCTTATAATTTACAGATTATTGCAGTTTGTATTCATATTATTAAAAACCATCAAGTGGTCTAAATCATATTATCAAAAACAATCAATTGGTCTAAATTATAGTTAGGAGCAAGATGTTGTGGGGCACTCATGAACAGCACAGTGAGATAAAAATAATGGACTATACATTTCAAAAAGCTAGAGGAAAGGATTTTGAAAACTTTCACTGTAAAAAGTGATAAGTATATGATCATGGATACATGCATCAAGACATGTTACCCATTAATACGTATAATTTTTACATTTTATGCACCAATTAATATAAATTTAAATGAAAAAAGGAAACACTAGCTCTGATTAAACACCTCTGACACCATTCAACTTCAAACCACTATCACCTCTGTCCTCTATCCTCGAATAGTCGCCCTATTTCCTCTTGTTCCTCTCTACACTCCATTTTCTACAAATAGGCCAAAACTATATTTTTAAAATGCAAATCGTATCATGTTATTTCCTATGGAAAATACTCTGAATTAGTGCTTCTCAACACCAGGCAACTCTGCCTCCTGGGGACAGCTGACAGAGTCAGCAGCCATTTGTGGCGGTCAGGACTAGGAGTGATAGCTACTGGCACCTAGTGGACGCGGCCAGAGATGCGACTACCATCCTACAGTACACAAGTCCTCTGCGACTCCGGATTTCCCGCTGCAAACATGGATGACGCCGAGGCTGAGACACAGTGCTAAGCCAAGTCCCTCGGTTTAGTTTGCAGATTCATATAGCCCTCCCTCCTCACCTGTTAGCGCCGCGCCTCCATCACCCACGGAGTTCTGGTCATGCTCCGGGCAGACAAAGCCAGGCTGGGCCTCAGGACCCTTTCACTCGTTCATCCCTGGTGCCTCTCTCCACAAGGAACTGGTAGCAAAACTGTGCATGGTAGCCTGCTTCCCAACACACAGATTTCTCGATGCCTCCTCCTCAGAAAATGCTTCTGTACCCGGGCCATCTCGAGCGCCTGAGTCTGCCCCTCCCCCGCGCGCCACTGCTTCATCTGCACCTCCGCGCCACCACTTGGAATCCACCCTCTTCGTTTCTAGCCCGCGTCCGCCTCCCAACGTGCGCACCCAGAGATGGGGCTGGCTAGTCATACTCCCCCATCTATTCCCCAAGCCTGCCTCTCTGGCAGTCCCACTCTCCTACACTTCTGGGCCCTGCTGGAAAGCAGCTTTCAGGGAAAGGAAGGCTGCAGGAAGGGGAGAAAGGAGACCAAACATGATCAAGATACTCTAGATACTTGCATATATACTATTGCCCAAGACAAATATAATTGTTACGTTTCACAAACAGGTAAAATAAAATATTCCTAAAGTGGAATTACAAAGCCGACAAAGAACGAAGAGTGCATGGTATGAGCGGACAATTCTAGACTTAGAGAAAGCGTAGTAAATGATTCTCATACCTGCTCATTTAGGGTTCTGTT